AAGAAAGAGAGAGAAAGAGAGAGAGAGAGAGCATGGGTGAATGTATGTGTGTGTGTGTGTGTGTGTGTGTGTGTGTGTGTGTGTGTGTGTGTGTGTGTGTGTGTGTGTTTTAGTATGTGTGTTCGTGTGTGGTAATACATATAGAATTATCCAAACGCTCCCAGAAAAGGTCCAGTGTATTGTGAGTTCTAGTAATGTTCTGACAACAAAGATAATCTATAGCGAATATAATTATCGTATGTTTGTTTTAACATAATCACTAAAGGGAAGGAAAAATGGTGGATGTGTAACCAGCATTAATTCCATTTTAGTGTAGAAAATATTTATTTTTGTACGTGTAAGCTAATAAAGGTACAACAGCAACTATATTTTGTAAAAAATATTTGACATGTGGTTTTCTCTCTCTCTCTCTCCTCTTTCTCTCTCTCTCTCTCTCTCGCTCTCTCTCTCTCTGGCTCTCTCTCTCTCTCTTTCTGTCTCTCTCTCTTTGAATCCTCTCTTTCTTCCTCATTCTTTCTTTCTCGCTTTCTCTTTCTCTCTCTTTCTCTCTCTCTCTCTCTCTCTCTCTCTCTCTCTCTCTCTCTCTCTCTCTCTCTCTCTCTCTCTCTCTCTCTCTCTCTCTCTCTCTCTCTCTCTCTCTCTCTCTCTCTCTCTCTCTCTCTATCTCTCTATCTCTCTCTTTCTTTTTCTCTTTCTCTCTCTCTCTCTCTCTCTCTCTCTCTCTCTCTCTCTCTCTCTCTCTTTCTCTATCTCTTTCTCTTTCTCTCCTTCTCTCTCTGTATGGAACCACGGCCGACCATAATTTTTCAGCCCCAAAGTAAATTTAGGAAGAATAACCTTTATTACTCCTAGTTACTCTTAACATAAAGGTCAAGGAAATTATCCAGGCATAGGATAGCATCAGCAGATTCCATGCCTCGTAAATGTTGGAGTAATTAGATAGGGAAGTGATATAAAAGTTTATTTTTTGAGTTTGACACCATTGCAAAAGAGTGCTCGTCATGGGACAAAAAAGTTATTCACGTTGACCAATAAAATGTCTTTACTATCTCCTTGGATTATTTGAAAGTAAAAAAAAAAAATCGTTCTTTTCTTCTTCTTCTTCTTTGGGTTGGAGAGATTTTGTAAATGTAGCAAATATTGTGTTGTGTGTGTGTGTGTGTGTGTGTGTGTGTGTGTGTGTGTGTGTGTGTGTGTGTGTGTGTGTGTGTGTGTGTGTGTGTGTGTGTGTGTGTGTGTGTGTGTGTGTGTGTGTGTGTGTGTGCGTGTTTGAGTGAGTGAGTGAGTGAATAAATGAATGAGAGAGAGAGAGAGAGAGAGTCTGTGTGCAGTTGTTTGTGTGCGTGCTTGTTTATCTGTGTATGACAGTATGTGTATTTATGTATCTACTTGTCAGTATATACACATACATATCCTCACATATATAACTATATACATACACATACACATACACATGCACATACACACAAATATGTGTGTGTGTATGTATACACATATATATATATATATATATATATATATATATATATATATATATATATATATATATATATACATAAATACATACATATATATATATATATATATATATATATATATATATATATATATATACACATATGTGTGTGTGTGTGTGTGTGTGTGTGTGTGTGTGTGTGTGTGTGTGTGTGTGTGTGTGTGTGTGTGTGTGTGTGTGTATGTGTATGTGTGTGTGTGTGTATGTGTGTGTGTGTGTATGTGTGTGTGTGTGTATGTGTGTGTGCAACACGCACATACCACGTTTCAAAATAATCATGATGTAGGTTTTCTGCATTTCTTTGTGTATTTAGTATTCAGACTACCAAGTGATACATATTTTTATGCGGTCGTAAATAAGCAATTGAAAAAGCATAAGACGGTAAAAACTGAGAGCGAATATGCAGTAAGAAGACATGAAAAGAAACAAATATATAAAGCTTTGTAGTTACAGCTTATGTATTTATGTTTAGATGCTCGACTGAGAGGAACGATGCTTTTTGGATGTTTTTAAGAGCCATTTTTGGGAGTTGTTTTATATTATGGCATGTATTAGTAGAGCAGAATCGTATAGAAAATTTACTTAGAGTTTCATTTTTATTTCATCATCGTATAGTTTGCTATATCTTAAACATTACTTATCGTTGAAAATTAGGGATGTTAGTGATACTTTTCACTAATCTTCCACATGTTTCATAATTCAGTATCATTTATTGCGTTTTCATTAGAGATAGAAAAAATCGACTCTTAATAATGAGGGTTTTTTATCTTTAGTTTGAGTGTCCTGTGGGAGAGGTTAAGTGTGAGACGGTCAATCAGTGTTACGAAGCCAGCTGGAAGTGTGACGGAGACAAAGACTGCGAAGATGGCAGTGACGAAGCAGGCTGTAAGGTAAAAACATGTTGCGAACACGAACAGCGTCGGATATTACGCAACAGACTCTCAAATGACGCAATGATAAACGCAAATATAGATTCAAACCACG